GATAATTGGGATGGGAGTGTCAGAGACGGTACGATTGGCACAGGACAGAGCGGAGTTTAGGGTTGTTGTACATAGGGTCGTTATGAGTCGCAAGCGACTCGACGGCACATAACAACAACAACAGAATTGAGTAGATTAAGTCAAAGGGTAGCTCATGAAGACAAAGTATTCCAAGGAAATGTGCAAAGCCACAGAGTTAGAAAACTAAAAGCTGAACTAAAGGAAAACTGAAGCTTCGAGTTGCAATCATGAAAGATTCTGTGGGCAAAATATTGGACAATGGAACCCATTTCAGGAGGTAGGATATGATCAAACACTGATGGTATTGAAGGAACAAGTCCAGTAGCACTGAAGGCATTGGTAAAAAACTGTTGCTGTTGTTGTTAGGTGCTGCTGAGTCTTGTATGACGCATAGCGATCCTATGGACAAAAGACCTGAGTCCTGTTGTATCCTATGCCATCACACTTCCTGACACACAAGAGCCCACTGAGGCAGTCACCTTGTCAATCCAGCTGGACCTCTTCTTGGTCGACCATCCACCATTCCTATCACCATATCCCTCTCCAAGGAACAGCCTCTCCTAATGACATGCCCAAAGTATGTGAGGTGAAGCCTCATCATTCTTGCCTCCAAAGAGCATTCCCACTGCACCCTCTCTAAGACATATCTATTTGTTCTCTGTCCACAGGATATTCAGTGCTCTTCTCCAATACCACAGCTCAAAGATGTCAATTCTTTTTCTGTCATCTTTATTCATTGTCTGGCTCTCAGATGCATAAGAAGTGATAGGAAAGACTATGGCCTGAATCAGATGCACCTTAGTCCTCAAACTGACTTCATTACTCTTCAATAATTTGGAGAGGTCCCTAACTGCAGATTTTCCCAGTGCAATGTGTCTCCTTATTTCCTGACTGCTGGTACTAAAAGTGTTAATTGTGGATTCAACCAAGGTGAAGTAGTTGACAGTTTTAATCCCTTCTCCATCCATCACGATGTCTCTAGCTGGGAGCCTCCTGTGTGAAACAGTTGGATTCTGGAGGGTAGGTTGTTTTGATTTAATTGAAAGAAAGGTGTTAACTGCCTAGTTTTTTGGTGTTGTTTTTTTTTTTTTTAAATTTAATTAGAAATCAAGTATAAGCTGATTGGTCATTTGGCAAAAAAACAAAACCAAAAAGAATTGATAGAAAACCAACTGACTAGTTACAACAAATGCATTCATCTGTAAGTGGTCATCCATCCTTGCTAAAGACTTTGGAAGAGAGCAAATTGGACAAGTAATAAGAAGGGATACCTACTTATGCCCACTGCATAGGAAAGTGATGCAGCAGAATATACAAATTACTGAACAGTATCGTTAATATCATTCAGAAGAAAAGTCTTGTGGAAGATAATTCAAACATGGCTGAAGCAGTACATCAAGAGGAAGGTGCCAAAAATTCAAGCTGGAATCAGGAGATGACATGGAACGAGGGATATCACTATTGACGTCAGGTAGATCTTGACTAAAAGCAGAGAATACCAGGAAGACATTTATTTATTTATTTATTTAACTACACAAAGTCATTCAACTATGTGAATCCCAACAAATGACTGATAACACTGGAGAGAATAGGGATTCGAGAAAATGTAATTGTTTTCCTGTGGAGCCTGAACTGAGACCAAGATGAACTTGTTCAAATACAGCATGGGATACTGTGTAGCTTAAAATCAGGAAAGACGTGGATCAGAGGGGAATCCCTTCACAGTACTTGTTCAATCTGGAAGTGAAGCAAATAATCCTAGACGCTAGACTATATGAAGAATGTGGCATTAGGATTAAAAAGAAGACTCACTAACAAATGTGGTATGTGGATGAAACTTTGCTTGCTCAAAAATCCTTCAATATGTACTACATTTTCGTTAAAAACCCCCAAACACCTTATAATTAGATGACTAAGCAAAAACATGATAAACAGGAAAAAACCTGAAGCTGTTAAACATTTCATTTTACGTGGATTCACGATCAACATTCATGGAAGCCGCACTGAAGAACTCAAACGGCACATTCCGGGGAGAAAAACTCAAAAGTCCTTTTGCAAGTGTTAAAAGGCAACATGTCATTCTGAGGACTAGGACGTGCCTGACCCAAGCTATGGTATTTTCAATCACTTCACACGCGTGGGAGATGGGGACTAAGGAAACACCTAAGAACTTGACGCCTGTGAATTACAGCGTTAAGAAAGAAGATGGAATGCATCATCACCTGACAGAAGACCAAACAAATCTACCTCGGAAGAAATAGTGCTTTTAGAGGTGAGGATGCGGGGACTTCACATATATTTGTAATATGTTCCCAGGAGGTGCCAGGCCATGGAGAGGACACCATGCTTGGT